CTGGCCCACATGAAGTTGGAGCTGCAGAAGAGACACACGTGCACAGACCTGGGTGAGCTGCGCAGCTATCTTGGCTTGCAGATCACCCGGGACAAAGCACGCCGCACCATTACCTTGACTCAGTCACACATGGTGCAGCAGGTCCTTCAGCGCTTCAACTTCACGTACTCCTCGCCTCAGGCCACTCCTCTGTCTACTCGCCACTCGCTCTCAACTCTGCCTTCGGATGAGTCCGTAGAGCCGAGTGGTCCGTACCCAGAGCTTGTCGGCTGCCTCATGTACCTGATGACCTGCGCTCGACCTGACCTGGCATACCCTCTTAGCATCTTGGCACGCTATGTTGCTCCTGGGAGACACTGACCAGAGCACATGGATGCAGCTAAGAGGGTGTTCCGCTACCTATGCAGTACGTCGGTCATGGGGCTCGTGCTTGGAGGACGGGCTCGAGTTGTCCTCACGGGTCATGCAGACGCTTCTTGGGTTGACGACTTGGCTACGCAGTGGTTGTCACAGGGTTACACCTTCAGCCTTGGTTCCGGCTCTGTTTTGTGGCGGTCTACCCGCTCGTCTTCTGTTCTCAGCTCCAGTTGTGAGGTTGAGATCTACGCTGGGGCCATGAATGCACAGGAGTTACGCTGGCTCACCTACCTGCTGACAGACTTGGGAGAGGCGCCTCGTTCTCCTCCAGTTCTGTACGTCGACAACAAGGTCATGCCGGCCTTGTGTCAGGAGCACAGACTGGAGCACAGAACAAAGCACATTGCTCTGCGCTACTTCCTTACTCGAGAGTTGCTGCAGCGTGGTCAGCTTTGTCTTGCTTACGTGGCCACTCGGGCCAACACTGCTGATATCTTTACCAAGGTACTTCAGCCTTGTGATCATCAGCGCTTTTGTACTATGCTAGGTCTTGTGCCTACTTGGCCTCTTGCTCACTTCTTGACTTTGCTTGTACTGTGATCTATATACACCTGCACCTGCATGCTTACCCTTGCTAGGTTGAGATCACTGTCTTGCTTGTTCACCTTGATATATAACTGTGCATGTGAACTGGCCTTGTGGCCTTGTGCTTGTGCTCAGAATGGGTGGTGACGTCGTGATCCACCCTGAGCTTGCCTTGCTTTGCTTGACTGGTCTTGTGACCTCTTGTTCTCCCCTACTTTGCCTATGGGGGTGTGTCAAACATATATGATATAGCCTGTGTAGGATGTAGTGGGGTAGACACTATGGGGTACAGCTTTTCTAGGTTTTCATACTTGTACCCATCTCCTTTCTAGTCCACACCATTCCTCGTACTTTTCTCACTGACGCATGACATGCCAGGAAGGAAGCATATGCACTTTGCAGCTTCAATAGCCCATCTCAAATCGCCAAGCCCCGCTGGCCTACCCACGCTCTGGCCAGTGCTTGAGAGACGTCCGGCCACCAGCGCAGCATTGTGACTGTTGACGTGGCTGCAAAGACGACTTGCAACTGGTGTTGGTGTTGACACAATGAGTCAGTATTGGTGTTGGTATTGAGACAGTGGGGCAGTTGGTGTTGGTGCTGACACAGTGGGTGGGACAGCTGCTGTCGGCATTGGTATCGGTATTCAGACAGTGGTTAGACTTTTGAGTCTACTCAAAAGTCGTCTCGTTTTGAGTCGACTCAAATGACAATGTGAGAGTTCGGATTGGTGATGGTGTTGACATAGGAGGATACGATCCATGCGTCATCCTTGGCACGTGATCCATGTGGGTACAATGTGTGCTTCAAACAGCATAGGAATGCACCAGTTAAATTTGAGCCACCCTTGAGAGTAGACACAAGCGAGAAGCCTTTGACTGACTGCATGACTTCTCCCCTTACAAAGTTTGGAATAAGTGCAGAGCAGTAGCTATGGAGTGCATATGCCGAAATGGGTCGGCCCGATGGGCCTGCAGGATTAGGCACGAACAAGAACAACGCGCATCGACAGTGGCATGCAAGCGATACGGCAAAGTCGGTGTTGCGTCTTGCGTGCATAGGCATGCACACTTGCATCAATCATGAGTGATCCTGGCAGCACACACATGGCACGCACTGGCACACACCTGGCACACCTGGCACATAGTGGCACACACCTGGCACGCACCTGGCATGCACCTGGCAGGCACGCACCTGGCACGCACCTGGCAGGCACGCATCTGGCACGCACCTTTCACACATTGGCACACACCTCGCACACACCTGGCACACACCTGGCATGCACTTAGGACGCACCGGGCATCAACTAAGAGTGCTCCTAGCCCAAACGGGCCCGGCAGTAGGAAGAAAACGAGGCTATGTGGCTGTCGCGAGCATAGTTGAAGCATGAGGTATAGGACAAAGCAATGTGCGTGACGCCTCAAACGCGGATGCTTGCACACGCCACCATGCCAACCACACTACGGGAGCAAACCACAGACGTCATTCGCTATGTCTGAAACGCGCATGCTCGCACGTGCTCACTTTCTGTGTGAGTGTCTGGTTGGGGTGGCTGCTTGCATGATGTGACTCATTCTTGCCTGGCAGTAACATGAGTCCGGTGACAGTGACGGAAAGTGCAGTCAGCAGCCCTTTCAGCAGCACAGCCGTTTCATCCATCATCCCCGGCCATTGGCAGCAGCAGAGCTTTGGGTTACCGCAGGCTGTGAGGGTAGCGGGAGCAAAAAGATGAGAGGAGGGTTGAGACTGGAGCATGGTGGAGAGGCGATGAGACAAGATGAAAAGAAAGAGATGAAAAGGGAAGCTGGGAGCACAACGCACCATGGATCTCGGGTAGATGCACAGAGGGGATGGATGGGAAAGTGTAAAGATGAAATGATGCAGGGAAACAAGGAACACGGGCATGGGGCAGATGTGAGTGTGGGGAGGTGAGAAGCAAAGGCTCGGGATTGGATGGGAGGCTTAGGGGGAGTCAGGATGGAAAAGTCAAGACAGAGGAGTCAGACGGGGTCATGGTGGCATGTCATCGCCCACGACATTGGCAGAACCGGTGGTGGTAGCAAAAGGAAGCAGCAAGTGAAGTGGTGACAGGAGGGGAACCTTGTGAGAGATGCGGAAAGGAGTCGGGAGGAGGGCGGAAGCGGCAAAGCACACTAGTGGAACGCGATGGTGAATCAGACTGCGACACGGATGTGCGACCTGTTGGAGGGAAACGGTGGTGGGGCGGTAGTATGCCCCCAACCCACCGAGGGCACTTCGGTGCCTTCGATCCCTTTGACTAGGGATCGGTGGGGTGGCATTGATTCGCTTCGGAAGACTTACCCTTCGGTGCCGCGTGGCGGCACCATATTCCAACCTTGGAGTTGAAGTCACGTTCGGTGTGTTCGGTAAAATTCGGTGGCCGAATTTCACCCAACCGAAATTGTTACACGCAGCGCATTAGCGACGCGAAATGTAGCGACTCGATGTTACACATGCGGTTCGATGTAAATGAGTTGCTATAAATTGTGATTGCTTTGTATGCATGACTCATTGAAATCCTGAATCTTCTTGTACATGGTGCATTCGAACCCAAATTCCAGAGAGCTCCTAATCTTTGATCCTATAGCATAGTCTTCACGTTTCCATCTATAGCTCACTCGTTTCTTAGGCGAACGAAGTGATTGACGGCTCGTTGGAAAGCTAAGACATAGCTCTGTTGATTAGGACAAATTCCAGTTCCTACAAAGTAGGACCTACAAAGTAGGAGAGTCCTCTACAACACGACCTCTCAAGGGGCATGCACAGCGAAGCATGTCTTCCATCCAAGTTCACCTTCCATTAGGTATGCACCGAGTTACAGTAATAATGAGTTGCTTACTGTGGTCTCAAGCTTCTTCAAACAGAGCCGTTGCGACGACTCTCTTGCAAGGGAAATCACTTGACCCTACCCGGTTTGGAACCGAAGCTGACCACTTACTAGCAGAGCGAAGCGGGCTAAGAACACCTAGTGTCAAATTTTAACAATTTCGTTGAAAGGAAGGAAAGAGGCATCGGTGAGCACTCAATTCAAATAGGTAAAGCGAGCACGGGGAGAAGGATCTCACGCGTCGAATGCGATGAATGGGGCAGAGGAGAGAGACGAAATCGTTGCGCTAGTAGTAGCAAGCAGGCGATGATGTGGGTCGGCATGCGCTCGTACGCCGAGACACCACTCCGTGGGAAATATTATGTCGGATGGGAGATCTGTGGCCATGCCCGTGTGATGCGTTGACATCGATGCGACACGATTTGGCAATAAGGGCATGAGGTGAGTGATGACAGTATGCTGAATTGAAAGCAACAGCCGTTATGGGTTCAGGGAGATTAGGGAAAACCACGCCTCGCCTTGCACCGTCGCAGGGCGAGGTTTTCAATTTTTGCGACCCATAGAATGGGTTGGACTCGCAAATCACTTCGCTAAGACAATTGTTTTGGCCAAGGCCCGCATCAGTGTAAGGAGCGTCCCAGGTGACGGTTCCGCTTACGAAAGCAGCGTGTGGTAACTTGCGACGATCCCATCAGTTTGAATGTCAGGTTGCCAATCTGTACGCAGTAATGTTCGTGGCTCAGACCATGGACTGTAGTGCCGAGATTACACGACTCTCAGATAACACACATACATACAGATTCATGTCCATTGTATGGCATCAAGCCATGCCCAAAGATAGACGGGAGGCTTCAAGGTTCTGCTAGCCATACCAATGCAGTCCAGGGTGCTGTGGGTAACAACGCTGTCTTCAGCCCTACGCTCTCTAGTTGCGGAACGGAATAGTGGCACTCGAGGCCCTTGGGAGTCACAACACAACCCTTTCAGCGCCAGGCTCTGCATTTGTGGCAAAGAGTGGAGGCACCTGATGCCCTCAGGGATGAACCCTGATGACCCGTCGATGTGCACGTGCTTGAGGTGAATCATGGTGGCCCCGTGGGCAAAGAGGGAATCTCATAAGTTGGAGAGGCCTTTACATCCAGTCTTGTACAAGGTTTCAAAAGGACCTTCTCGAGCAGGAAACCGAGATTTCATAGAACCTTACTGACTCTCATCCAAACATCAGATCTTCCGTCCCTGGCTTCCCAACCCCCCCTTTTCTCTGCCCCAACCTTCTCCCCTTCACCTCGCCATACCCTCCACCCTCCTGCCCTTCCCCCTTTTCTCCCTTCCTTACCATCCTCCCCTCCTCCCCCTCCTTCCCCAAAGTAGTCTGGGAACCCTTTGGCGCATGCTGAGCTCCTCCAAAGCGTTAAGATCCGGATGCTGCGATTCTGGGTACAACATCGATGGTGGGCACTGCATCACTGCTGGCTCATCCAAACTCATTTCTTTCCTCAGCACCTTCACCTCCTCCTCCAACTCTGATTTTTCCTTCTCCACTTTCTGCAGGCATTCTTTCTGTTCAGCCAGCTCCCTTGTTGCTTCCATCAACCCCTTTTTCACTGTTTCCAACCCCCCCCTTGTTGCTTCCAAATCACCTTTCACCGTCGCCAGCTCTCTCCTTGTTGCCAGCTCCCCATTTACTGTCATTACTTCTCCATTAACTGTTTCCAACTCCCCTTTTACTACAGAGATCTCATCCCTTGTTCTTGCCATCTCCCCATTTACTGTCACTAACTCACCTTTAACCGTTTCCAACTCCCCTTTCATTGTCCCCATCTCTCCCCTTGTTGTTGCGACCTCCCTTTTTACTGTCACCAATCCCCCCTCTACTGTTGCCAACTCCTCTTTCGTTGTCGCTATATCTCCTCTTGTTGTTGCCAGCTCCCCTTTTGCTGTCACTAACTCACCTTTAACTGCTTCCAACTCTCTTTTCACTCTCCCCATCTCTCCCCTTGTTGTTGCGACCTCTCTTTCTACTGTCACCAATCCCCCCTCTACTGTTGCCAACTCCTCTTTCACAGTACCCAGCTCTCCCCTTGTTGTTGCCAACTCTCCTTTTACCGTCACCAATTCCCCTTTTACTGCTTCAAACTCGCTTTTCCTTGTCGCCATCTCTCCCCTTACTGTCACCAGCTCTCCCCTTGTCGTCACCAGCTCCCCTCTCGCTGTTGTTGATTCCCCTCTTACTGTCACTAACTCCCCTCTCACAGTTAGCGTTTCACCTCTCACTGTTAGCATCTCCTCTGCCCTTCTCCTCTCAGCCTCCTCCAGTCCCCTCCGTGTCTCCTCCAGCTGCCCTTCCAGCGCCCTCAGCCTCATCTCCATCACCAGCACCAGCCCATCCGCTCCCGCTTGGTGCCCTGAGGGACCCTCAGCATCTTCATTCTCTCCCCGCATTTCGAATCTGCACTGAGCAGGAACACAACCCCATGGAATCAACCAGAGGGGAAAAAAAGCTTGAAGTGGCACCCGTCAAGGGTAAGCGGCATGCACGAGATAAGAGGACATGAACGTGTAGGGACCGTAACATATGTTAAAGAAAAAGGTCTTAAGACGCGACTGCATAAATATAATAATGCAAGGAGAGAAGCACTCATCTGAAGTTGAACGAACATGGGAGCGTGGACGCACCAGACGTTGGCAACAGTACACGATCCTCCGCAATCCCTAAGATGCAAAGCCATAAGTTTTTTCTTACATGTGTAAGCTAGAGAATACAACAGATAGGCTTTTGATGTTGACAGAGTGCAAGACAATGTCGATTCTCACCAATGCACGGTGGAAGAGAATAAATAGTTTGAAAAGAGACAAACACCTTCTCAGGATAGAGGTGGTCACGATTTTTGACAACTACGCGCTCTGCAGGAATCAGAAGAGTAAGGCATTTTCAGATGACTTCTGCTACCAAATAACTGCCTTGCAAAGTCGGAGCGACGGGGCTCACATTGAAATCGTTCAGCAGCGTCGTTCTTCAGTGGGGGTCAAGATAGCAAAGGCGGCAACTGGTAAACTGGGAGGTGCAGCTACAATGAGAACAGCAAGCGAGATGCTGAAAGCAGGCAGCACGATGAACAGGCAGAGGGGGGAAACATTTACTGAGAAGCAAGGGTGTGGTCGCGAACGAGAACGAGGAGTTGCGACCGAAACGTTTGAGAGCTGACGAGGAGACGTGCATGAGGGGTCGAGATGAAGCAAGGGAAGAATCACAGTGCTCAAGGTTGCAGATTCTGTGAGTTAACGACCGAAGAGATCAAGGCAAGGGTAACAAATTCTGACAGACCAGGGGGCGAGGTAGTACGAGTAGGGTAAGACACAAACCAAGTGAAGGGAGGTAACAAAAGAAAGAATCGTATTTGATTCATCATTAGCGACGAGAGGCAATCGTCCTTGGAACCTACCTCGTGTAGTTTTCTTACATTAGCTGACGACAACGACCAAGCCCAACGATTGCGTTCACAGGGTCACACGTGCACGCGTTCCCACATGGGCGATGGATGCAACAATGGCAAAGCTATGAACGGATGAGGGAAGGAGAATAGAGTGGATCGCAGTGGCGCTGAATGCGGTGGAAGAAAACGTTTACAGGAAACAGGGGATATCGCATGTCTGCGACGGGGATATCAGACCCCTTGCGACAGGAATTTTGACGCCTTACGATGGGAATTTTCACGCCTTGCGACGGGCATATCTCACGCTGCTCACACCTAGCAACGAAGATTTTCACGACGGGGATTTCACGCCAAGAAGAGCCTTCCCTTGCATTGGAATGCGATAATTGCTACTGCCTATCACGGGTGCAATGAATTGAGGTAGCGAGGATTGCACTAAGTGTCAAACGAGTACAAAATGTGAGCGAAGGCATGAGCAAACATTTATATGCGAAACATGCAAACGGTAACGCGGTACATGCGAGCAAGCTAGTGCTACGCTCGCAGTGAGGTTCGGGCTAGTCCCGAAGCGTAGGCCGATACGGTCGGGCCAGCAGTGCGAGGTTTGGTGAAACAGTGCGCGCGAAGTCGGCGAAGCCCCGTTAGCAGTAACGGGTGAACAACGGCTGCTGCTGTACGCGATGTTGCAGGGCGCGCTAAGGAATGTCGAGAAAATTCCTTACACTACCCCCCCACCCCTCAAGAAGCCCCCTCCGCTACGCGAGTGCGTGTATGTCGCGGAAACCCCAGCTCCTCAGGTACACTTGCAAGGCAGGGTGGTTTTCGATGTTGGCTAGGGGCACCCAGCTATCCTCAATTGGCGTGCGGTCCTTCCAGCGAACGAGGAACTCAATCCTCCTGATTCCCGTGAGGTGTCGAATCCGATGGCTCAGGGTTTTTTCGGGCTCGATGATCGGCTCCGATGCAGGGCGAGTCATGGATGGCGGGCGGTGACGAGGCAGCTGGCTTGTGGTTGGGATGTAGGGGCGAAGCAGGCTGACGTGGAATGATGGGCTGATGTACCAGTCTGTCGGCAACAGTAAGAGTCTGGGGTAATCATGTGGTTGATTTGGAATGGTCCACAGTAGCGCGGTCGTAATTTCGGTACGACGGGCAGCCTTAAGTTCTATGTGTCGAGCAGTACGTAGTCTCCTGACTGGTACGTGACTGGGCGGCGGTGGCGGTCAGCGTTGAGCTTAGCGATAACATTTGCTTTTCTAATTGCTTCGGCGGCTCTGGTGCGGGCAGCTTGCAGAATCTCGGCGAATTGTTGTGCGCGTGGCGTTGGGTTGTTCGGACTCGACGTCATGGGCACTGTAGGGTTTTGCCCGTAGTTCAAATAGAATGGGGTATGCTTCGTCGTCGCTGACGTGGCATTGTTGTACGCGAACTCAATCAGCGACAGCTGTTGGGTTGTCGGATCGTCACACGTGGCACAAGTCAACTGCTCCATCGTCTGATTGGTCCACTCCATTTGACCGTCGGTCTCAGGGTGGTACGACGAACTGAATTGTAGCCCGGTCCCGAACTGCTCCCAGAGGTTTTTTCAGAAGTTGCTGGTGAACTTCGTGTCGCAGTCGCTGATTATCGCGGCTGGTATCTCGTGCAGTTTAACGACAGCTGCGATGAACAGGCGAGCGGGTTCTTTGGCTGGGATCGATTTCTTGCACGCAGCGAAGTGGGCCATCTTCGTCAACCTGTCAACGTCGACCATAACTGCGTCGTTACCCCCAGGGTTAGGAGGTAACCCTATGATGAAATCCATGGTAACCTGCTGCCAGGCGTGCTCAAGCGGTGGAATCGGCTGCAACAGACCCGCCTTTCTTTTTCGCGAGCTCTTCATCACCTGACACGTAGGACACGAGCCCACGTGGTGCTATACGTCGGTCAACAGCTCCGGCCAGTAGCAATGCCGCTGCAGTTGCTGTCGCGATTTTTCTACCCAGGTAATCCCGTTGTGTGCTTCGTGCAGTAACAGTTCCCTCAGTAGTGAATACGCGGGTACCCAGATGCGATTGGTGCCTGTTTTTATGTAATAGACTCCTTTTACTTCTGCCAGTTGCTGTGAATTTCCGGTCGTGAAAAATGGGTCGGTATTGTACCCGTGGGTGAATTTGCCTGTTTGTGAGAATAATAACGAGGAATGAATGAACTAGCAAGCACGTGGGTACAAGTATGAAAACCTAAAAGAGTTGTACCCCATATGGTCTACCCCACTACAGCCTACAATATAGGTCTGACACACCCCCACAGGCAAAGTGGGGGACAAGCAAGAGAACAAGGCAAGGTCAAGCTCAGGGTGGATCACAACGTCACCACACATTCTGAGCACCAGTTCAAGGCCACAAGGCGAGTTCACATGCGGGATTATAAAGCAAGGTGAACAACCAAGACAGTGATCTCAACCTAGCAAGGGTAAGCATGCAGGTGCAGCTATATATAGATCGCAGTACAAACAAAGTCAAGAGGTAAGCAAGTGAGGCCCGGTAGGCACAAGACCTAGCATAGTACGGAAACGTTGATGATCACAAGGCTGAAGTGCCTTGGTAAAGATATCAGCAGTGTTGGCCCGAGAGGCCACGTAAGCAAGACGAAGCTGACCACGCTGGTGCAACTCTCGAGCAAGGAAGTAGCGCAGAGCAATGTGCTTCGTTCTGTGCTCCAGTCTGTGCTCCTAACACAAGGCCAGCATGGCCTTGTTGTCGACGTACAGGACTGGACGAGAACGAGGCGCCTCTCCCAAGTCGGTCAGCAGGTAGGTGAGCCAGCGTAACTCCTGTGCAGCCATGGCCCCAGCGTAGATCTCAGCCTCACAACTGGAGCCGAGAACAGAAGACGAGCGGGTAGACCGCCACGAAACAGAGCCGGAACCAAGGCTCTACGGACTCATCCGAAGGCAAAGCTAAGAGCGAATGGCGCGTAGACAGAGGAGTGGCCTGAGGCGAGGAGTACGTGAAGTTGAAGCGCTGAAGGATCTGCTGCACCATGTGTGACTGAGTCAAGGTAATGGTGCGTTGTGCTCTGTTCCTGGTGATCTGCAAGCCAAGATAGCTGCGCAGTTCACCCAGGCCTGTGCACGTGTGTCTCTTCTGCAGCTCCGACTTCACGTGGGCGAGTCCAGCAGTGTCAGCAGTAGCAAAGACCAAGTCGTCGACGTACACGAGGATGTAGAACGGCGGCAAAGAGGTGTCGGTGCGTAGAAACAGCGACGGGTCAGCAGTAGAAGGAGCAAACCCAAGGGCCGTAAGCGTAGTCCTCAGTGTGTCGTGCCACTCACGTGGCGCCTGGCGGAGACCGTAGACTGGCCGCCGGAGGCTCCACTGGGTACCAGGAGGAACCGACCCAGTGAAGCCAGGTGGGCAGCGCAGCCAGATCTCCTCGTGCAGGCTGCCCTGTAGGAAAGCAGTGCTGGAGTCAAGAGAGTGAAGCTCGTAGTCACGCTGAGCAGCGACGTGCAGCAGAACCCGAAGAGTGGTCATCTTCGGGGTCGGGGAGAAGGTCTGGAAGAAGTCAACTCCCTGTCGCTGGCTGAAGCCTCGAGCAACGAAACGCGCCTTGAAGATAGGCGGAGAACCCGGCGGCCGCTTCACCCTGAAAATCCACATGCCACTGACGATGTTCGCCCCAGGAGGGGGAACCTCGTCGACGTAAGTGCCAAACGACTTCCAGGATGCCATCTCTGCGTCCATGGCTGACTGCCACTGAGAGGAGTAGGGACCCTCTATCGCCTCTGCGTAAGAGCGCGGGGTCGGGATGTCTGGTGCATCCGGGTCTCCCTCAGGTGCAATCAGCATGGACACGAGATGAGGTACAGCGGCTGCAAAGCACTCAAAGACCTCCTGCCTGTCCTCAACGACGTCCGTGCCAAGAGCACACTCACCCCCGACGGACGGAGGACAGACAGACGTAAACTCCGCAACAAGACTAGCGGCGTAGTCGAGACGACAATGAGCAGCAAAGTCGACAAGC